GGATGCTGAGGCAGGAGGGTTACTTGAGACCAGGAGTTCATGATCAGGCTGGGAAACACAGACTTTGACTCAAGATAGAACAAAAATAATTAAGAAAGATTATATGAGTGTGTGTGTGTTTTCTAGAAACCAAAAATTTGTATGTAATACATTATTCTTAGTGGTTTATATGCTGTAGAAGAAATTTTATCACTAAGAGTTTTATGGTTACAAAGTTTAAAAAATATTCATGTATATAAAAATTTTCAAGTTAAAATAGGAAGTAATTATGAGAATGGAATTATTATTGTGTTTGATACTGGGGATTGAACCAGGGGTGCTTTATCATTGAGCTATATCCATCACCCCTTTTAAATTTTTTTATTTTGAGACAGGATCTTGTTAAGTTGCTTAGGGCCTCACCAAGTTGTTGAGGCTGGTCTCGAATATGATCCTTCCCAGTCGCTGGGATTATAGGCACGTACCATCGTGCCTGGCAGGAATGGAATTATTAATTCAAAGAGAAAAAAGTTTTTTTTTTTTTTTTTGGTGTGTGTGTGTATAGATGGTAATATTGGGTATATTGACTTCTGTTACATATATCATAAAGCGATATAATAGTTTATTATTAAAGTTTCAGTATTTCAATACTTCTGGTAAGTGTATCATTTGTAATTATTTACATTAAAATATGAAATATTCTTGTTATCAACTTTAAAATATGAGTGAAGTGTGTATATTTTAAAAATTCTCTGTGTAAGAATACAAAAAATACTGGACAACCACTGGTTTATGAAACATAACCTTTATCCACCTCTTAAGTTATTCTGTAATTAAGTTAGATCACTCAAAGATTATACAATAATGAGATCCCACTGCTTTAGCCCTTTTCAGAATTATCTTCACTGAATTGTCCTTAGAGTCTTATGTTCTTTTATGAAAGATTACTAAAAAAAAAAAAAAAAAGGAAAAAAGTTAACCCATTTGAAGTCTGTTTAATATTTCTTGTGATGTTGAGTGTCTTTCTTTATTCTATATTTAGCACCAGGACATTTGTTTTCTTCATTAATTGTTATATTTCCTCCTTTCTGACTGTGATAACTAAATGATTTAATGTTTCTTTTTGCCTCGGTCTGTGGAAAATTCAGATCCACATTTGATGCTCAGCTCTAGCATAACTTTCAACTTTGTCAAAAGGAATTTTTTTTCTCTGCATCCTTGATTGTGTTTTTAAAAATTAAATTTTTTAAATGAAAATTTTATTGCATATCTGTCCTTTGTGAGTATACAAAGAACCACCTCACATGCTTCATGGAAAGAGAAGAAATTTCTTTCAAAATAAAAATTTATTTTCCCCTCAGCAATGAGGATAGAATAGGTCCTCAAAAAAATTAAATACTTGGGACTGGGACTGGGACTGGGGCTGGGGCTGGGGCTCAGTGGTGGAGTGCCTGTTTCGCACATGTGAGGCACTGGGTTCAAGCCTTGGCACCACAAAGAAAGATATTATGTCCATATACAACTAAAAAAATTTTAAAATAAGTCTAGTGTACATTATAAAATTCATTAAATTTTCATTCAAGGACCTGCCTACATACTGAGAATAGTTGACAAAGTTTGCAAACCTTTAGTTCTAATGTTACAATGTGCTTGTTTGCCAGTTTCATTTTGTATTATAAAGAACTGCTTTACTTTTTTTGAATATTGAAAGAGATTTCAAATATATGGGCAGCTCTAATCTTGTCCCTTGTGACTGTTTGCTTTTTAACTCCTATTAAAAGGAGTTTATGGCCTGTTGGTTATTGTTTAGAAGAATTCTGCAATGTGGCTGGGTGTGAATTAGTGGTGACTCTTCAAGTCCTTAGGGGAGAGTGATAAAACAATTTACTGTTTTTGTAACAGCCTCCAGGAAAACCAGTTAGTCCAGCTTTATGGATGACTCAACTTGATACGTTTTTGGAATATAATATTAATCAGTAAAAACTTATTTCTGTCAAATCTGTAGGCCAGTTAAAGAGAAGCAGTAGTAAAAAACCCAAATGAGATTGAGAGGAATGATGTAGCATGCTTGAATAAGATCCCCTGTTCTGTGTCACCAGGGGATTAACTGCCTCATTGAACAATAGAGGTTAATTGTATGTCTTGAATCTTTTAGCTGGTTTCCCAATTTTTCTTTAGTGCTCCCAAAGCACAAGTTAATGCAAAAACATCAGCCTTACTCATCAATAGTTTCATGTGGCCCATGCTTCCAGTCTGTGTTGAATCTAGATTCATGGTTTAGAACAGTTTTGAAGGGTCCCTGCTGCCTCCAGTTATCCTGTGTAACAATCGTAATTTCAGGCTCCAATATGTTTGCTCCTACAAATAGCTGCCACTTTTTTTTTTTTTTAGCACCAGCAGAATATATTGTTCTTTTATTAAAAAACAAAAAACTTAAAAACCAAACAAGGTATTTGTTTAATAAAACAATTATCTGATTATACCTAATTAGCAACAGAAACAGTTTTCCTTAAGTATTTGTATGTTAAGCTTTTTTAAGATTGAATGTTGATAATTTTGTAAATTGTATGACTTCGTTAAGGACTTCAGAACGTTTTAGATGCATGAATCAGAGATGTCCAAACTTTTTGTGGAATATAGAATTAGCAGGGACCTTTTTTAAAAATTCACACTCGTGGGCCTCATATTTTTTAAAGGTGGTATCCCAAGGTGGTGGTTTTGTAGCCTGTTAGTCACATTTGCTGATGATTTATTTTTTTAAAGTCATCAAGATGAAGCTGTATATTGGAGAGATAATATGTTAGAATCATTTGAGATGAATATAAACATACCTAGGGAGAAAACTGAGATAAAAGAATGATAGAAATGTTCAGTACTTACAGAGGAGGTAGGTGTATTGTGGGTAAAGGGGAAGAGGTGAGGGCACATTTATTAGTGGATCCAAATGTTGTAGTAATTACCATACTTACCTTCTTAGATGCTAATACTCGTTAAGCAGTGGTCACAAACTCCATGCCTTTAGAGCTTGGGTAGGTAATGTAAGTTATTGAGAAATGTCGCAAAACGAAAACCTGACATCCCTGGTGGACAGCTATTGTCAGTCAGGGCCTGTTGTTGCCAAACCAAGTCTAGCATTTCTCCTATACCTTTCCGTGTGTGAGGAGCTGGGATTCCAGACTTTATGTGAAAACACCAGGTTTTTAGATGCTGGTTTAATGTACTGAAGGTACCAAAAAGTGGACAACAGATACCCATCTGTTAGCTTTGGTGTTCCTACCACAAATCAGCAGTCTTTGTTTTAGAGCATTGCCTCTTCAAGTGTGGTTCCTGCATCAGCAGCATCAGCATAATGGTGACCTTCCTAGACATGCGATTATTAGATCCCACCTCAGCTCTACTAAATCAGAATCTTTGGGGATGAGGCCCAGTCCACATTGTTTTAACAAGCCTGATGGGTGGTCCTGATGTATGCTTGGGTTTGAGAATTATTGGGAATATGAAGATATATTGCAATTTCTGTGTGGCGATACTAAAGGCAAAAACTCATCAAATATCCTATAAATTTGTCAAGTATATTTTTTGTTTAAAAAATACATAGGGTATTTTTTTATATAAATGACTATGTATTATGTGTGTACATATGTATGTGTGTTGTATGTGTGTGTGTGTATGAAAAACTTTTTTTTTTTTTTGCCAGAATCAGCACAATCATTAAATTGGATTTTCTCCCCCATACCTTTTTTTTTCTTGTTGTTTTTTGTTGGGGTATTGCAAGAGAATTTTAATAACAACTCTGTGCCACACTGTGACCTCATTAGAGTATATCTCACATTTTCATTTTCTGCTTGGTTAATACTTGATAAATATGTTACATAGCTTTCTGAAGCTCAATTTAAAATCTCTTGTGTAAAAAGATTAAATGTGAATATGTTAAAATTTAGAAATACTGGTTGAAAAACCCTTATGCAAAATTCTTGAGACCAGATGTGTTTTGGATTGGGTTCTTTTCAGATTTTGGAATATTTGCATACATGCACGAGATAGCTCACTTGGGATTGAGACCCAAGTTCACACACAAAATTTGTTTTTTATGTATACTTACTGCACATAGCCTAACTGTAATTTTATAAGTATTTTTAGTGAACCTGAGTTCCAACTGTGACCTGTCACACAGGTGTGGAATTTTCCACTTGTGATGACGTTGGTGCCCCAAATTTCAAATTAGGCGTGCTTAACTTGTATATCCTTATTTTATCACATTTTTCTTGAGTTTTTTTTTTTAAGAATTATTTCATTTTTATATAAAAAGGAAAGTTAATTTATGTTATTTCATGTAAGTGTCGCTTCCTAATTGCTGATCAGGTTGTTTATGTTTTAATACCCACGTATATTTAGTACCAATATTTTTCTCTATTCCCCAAATGTAGAAATGATTGCTATGCCAGTGATTGTTGTCCTTAAACTTCTCCTTCCTTTTTTATAACCCAAACAGATTTGGCAATTTAAAATTCTTAATACTTTAAAGACCAAATTAATTATGAATTTTATATAGATAATTTTCTTACATTTAAAAGTATATAAGATGTGGTGGCAAATGCCTATAATCCCAGCACCTGGGGAGATGAGGAATACTAAATTACCTACTGGTGCAGGAAGATCACAAGTTTGAGACTTCAGCAATTTAGTGAGGCCCTAAGTAACTTTGCAAGACCTTGTCTCAAAATAAAAAGGGCTGGGGATATAGCTCAGTGGTAAAGCACCCCTGGGTTCAATGCCCAGTACCAAACAAACAGACAACAAAACAACAACAAATCCCTGAAGTATACACAAGATTTTCATTTGTTATGAGAAAAATTCATATTTGTCTTATACTTAAAATGTACTTTCAGAGTATTTAAAATGCTGAGTTAGACTGGGAATTTTGGAATAATCTGGTTTAAAGTAATAAACATAAAATTAGAAAAAATCATCATGTTTATATATGATATTTATTAATGAAAACACATTATATTCATTCACAGGGTAAACCAGACTTGAATACAACATTGCCGATTAGACAAACAGCATCTATTTTCAAACAACCAGTAACCAAAGTCACAAATCATCCTAGTAATAAAGTGAAATCAGACCCACAACGAATGAACGAACAGCCACGCCAGGTAAGAACTTGATTTGTCCTCCAGTCTCATTTTCTAGAAAATTCTAGCATTTTTGCCAGACAGTTCAAGAAAATTCTGGTTGAAATGGAATGTATATGGAAAGAAAATTATTTTATGCTCTAGGAATATTACATGAATGCTGGAGAAACACTATTATAAGATTTAGGTTAAGTATCTTGAGGAAAAATTTAAAAGTTCATTAAAAAAGAATCTAATGACATGGACTATAGTTTTATGCTTTTTGTGTGGTAATATATCAGACTTGGTTCTGCTAATCTTAGTTTTTAAAGATTATCTTTCTAGGAGTAACATGGCACAGAAGGACGAAGCATGCAGTCTGTGTTAAAAAATATTTCTGTTACTTGGAAACTACTTTTTAGGGGGGGACTTCTGATTTCTTATTTCATGAAAACCATCCCACCCCTTTTGAAAAACAGATACACTTTGTAAATATGGTATATTGTCTTGTGAGTTTCATATTTGTATAAATTCAATTTATTTTTCTCTTTCTTATTGCTTCAAGCTGTATTCCACCAGAATCTTTTCTTAGAAAAATGGTATTATCTGAAAGGCCTCCCTGCTGCATAGTAATGCCATATAGCCAGAGAGGGAGACTTGACAAAATGCCAAACCTTCTACATAATGTTGCTTATTCACTCCCCTAATTGTGGTCAAAAGCTCAGCTATTTCTATGAAGTTCCAGTAACAGTGGGTGAGGGAGTGGAGGGAGAAGCATCTGTGCATTGTTTTCCTCTCCTTTCTCTGCCTTCTCCCACCTGAGGATGAGGAACACTGAGTTACTACAACAATGGTCTTTTGCTCTCATACTCCCTTTTTAGATGTCTCACTCCACCCTTTCATTTGAATTTTGTTTTTCACTAGTCATTCAAGTGTCTCATCTCCAGACTTCACAAAAGACTGGGTCAAAACTTTCAGACAGTTACTCTAGAAGAATCTACTTAAAGAAATTCGGTTCCCACATCCTCTGTAGTGTTTTTTCCTCTTCAGGTGAGCCAGGAAAACAGAAGATATTTGGAGCCACATTGGATCAGCATCTTGCTATAGATGTCTCAAGATTTGAAGTTCTAAACTTGCTTTACTGTTGGTCCCCAAGAGATTCAACAGGGGCCATGTAAGTGTATCACATCCAATATCAAAGATGCGTACCTGCATGTGCCTTTAGGTTCTTGTCATCCCTTAGGTTTTCTTTGGACCATTCAGCTTTCTATGTGAGGCTTTTCCCTTCTGTTTTACTCCTGTACTCAGGATAGTCACCAAACAGTGGTAGTTTCAGAATATTCATTGCAACATGGAAGGAATTCTGCCATTCTGAACTTTACCCACCTAGGTAAAGCCCTTCCCTAGTCGTATTCTTTCTCAGGTACTGTCTGAAGTCTTAAACATCTTGTTCTTTCGCTTTTTGGTGATTTAAAAATCACTTACAGAGATTTTTATTAACTGAACTTTTTGAAAGTGCATAATTGGGTAAAAGAGTTGCTTCAAAAATCCCAAAAGGTAAAGGTAGAATATATATATATAATCTTTGATAACAGTGTTCTACATTGGAAATTTGGGTTTTCATAGGTAGCATTTAATAGATTTTTATCCTCATCTTTTCTTTGCCTAAACATTCTCAATGTAGTCTATAATGAACAGATATTTTGTTTACAGACCAGTCAGTTAGCAACTTCTGGTCATTCTGACAGTAATTTGTTTTCTGAACCTAATTCATTCACAGATTTAAAAAACATATTTACAGAATATGTTGCTGTCTATAAAGATATTGGTAACTTAGAATTTTAAAGCTGAAGAGTCCAGAATAATTGCTCCTTATTCTTTGGTATGTTGAATAGTTTTGAGTTTTCCTTCTTTTATTATGGTTTATGAGATTACTCTCAAAGGAAAAGTATGTGTCACAAAAGCTAAATCCTTTCCCTTTCCTCTCTCAGCAAAAAAAAAGAATGTCATTTTAATGCAGGTCTTTTGAAGGTTAGTCTTCCTTTTAGCTTACATAGACAGGAAGGCAGATTACTTTTCCAAAAGCTTGGGATGTTTTTCACTTTATTTTCATGTTATTGGATGATATTTACAGAATGGTTTGATTATACTAAGACATCTTCAACATAAAAATTGAGGTAATCTGTGACTACTGTGTCACCAATAGGATTCCAAAATATATAAGAAAGTAGAGGAGAGACAATTAATGCTTTTAACATCATGATCTGTCATCTTGATTGTCATCTTGATATTCAATTTTAGAGTCAGGTTTGTTAGTAAAGGAAAGATGTTGATTTTAATTATATTTTGAAATGTATAGCAGATGACAGCTACTCAATCATTATTGAGTAGATAGTTAGCAAAAGATACATAGGCAAAAATGATTCTTCCAATTTTGCTACCCATTAATTAATTAAACTTTAAGTTTCCTGTCTCATTTGAAGTTATTTTTATCATATAGTAAATGAATTAGACAATGAGGTTTCTATTCTTGAGGTTCCTGTAGATATTTTTATTCTATAACCACATCACATTCTGGTGTGGTGTCACCCCCCGTAATCTCACTGTTTTAGGAGGCTATAGCAGGAGGATTGCAAGTTTGAGGCCAGTCTAAGAGACAGCTGTCAATCAATCAATCAATCAATAAAGGGCTAAGGATAGAGTTCAGTGGTAGAGTGGCCCTAAATTCAGTCCCTAGGACCATACTCACAGATATGTTGAATTTTGAAGCCCAGAACGGGGATTAGGTTTCTGCATCTTAATCTACATTTTACCTTCAATAGGTTTCAAGTGATTAATTTAAATAAGAAGCAATTATAAAAGTAATTCTGTCTTATAGGCACATATGTCCAGGTCATTATATGCAGTCTAATGTAAATTATACACATTATCAGTTTTTAATATATTGATTCTTTATAAATGTCTTAACTCTAAAAATGTGAATTAGTGTATGTAAAAAGAAAAGTACACTAAACAGAATTCTGTACAGAATTTAGTAGTGATTTCTGCTTATAATTAAAATTGTGAAGTATAAATGGTATTTTTAACTCCTGCTTATCATAGAGTAAGTAGTCAATAATTTTTATATAAAGTTTTAGCATATTTGATATTATCTTTTCATTAGATTGAAAAGAAACCTGAAATGAAGTGAATTTTTCCAACTATCAGACTGTTATTCCCAACAGTAGGATCACTCAAATCTCCGTATTGATTCAGATACTTAAACAAGTCCCAGGATTTTAGTGTGCTTGAATTATGATTTTACTGTGTCTTTCCTGGCTTATGTCTTTAAATATGTGAAAAACTCACATTTTGGATTTTAATTTCTTTGATGCTGTCATCTTTGATGCTTTCCGAACTTTGTTTGCTTCTTTTTTTACTCTTATCCTCAAAGAAATTTCATCTTTGAATTATAACTTCTTCCTTTTAATTATTAAAATATAGGATGCTGATAGGCTTTTGATGTTATTGATAATCTATGAATATTATATTTCTTAAAGAATATTTACTTTTTTTTGGTAGGAGTAAATATTTAAAGCCAGTGAAAAACGCTTATTTGAGTCTTCCACTTGATCTTAGATTTTTTTCCTTTTGTTTTCTAATCCTTCTTCCAGAGGATATGAAATATCTCTTTACCCTCTCATAGAAGTCAGCCTTATCTTTTAGAAAGAATGGTTTAAAATATATTAGAAGAAACATTTCAGATGAAAGATAAATTTAAAAACCATCTGCAACTTTAAACACATTGTGTGTGAAAAGTTTGTGAAATGTTTCAGTATGTAGTTGATGTAACTGAGAATTATTATTCATCAAGGCTTTCTAGCTAGCACCTTTACTTCTTTCTAACTTTTGAAGAGAGATATCCAGTATAGTCTTATCCTAATGGTTTATGATTGAGAAATAGATCAGCTCAAGTACAGAATCCCATGAAGGGTATTATAGTCCTTTTTCTTGACAGAAAAATTGGCTGCTTTGGGCATAGAAAATGCATGACATGTCCTATGCTTCTTAAAAGCATTACTGTGGGGAATGTTGGGAACCTGCCTTGTACAAATTGACAAATAAATAGTGTAGGCAAGTGGGGTTGGGGATGTAACTCAGTTGGTAGAGTGCTTGCCTCACATGCACAAGGCCCTGAGTTAGATCCCCAGGACTACACACACATACACAAAAAGGTATAGGCAAGTGCTGTAGGTGTTGAAGGAGGGTGAGGTGACTGTGGCTAGGAGGTTTGGGATAAGACATGTGCTGGCTAGGAGGTTTGGATGAGATCTATGCTGGACTTGAAGATTGAGAGGAGTTGGGAAAGAACTTGAGAGGGAGAGAACATTCCAATTTGGGAGAGTAGATTTCAGAAAGCTGTTACTAGGGAATGGGCAAAGAAGAAGGAAACAAGCTGAATGGAAAAAAGTTTTTATGGGAAATTGTGGGAGTTGAGGATGGTTCATGTTGAAGTTTCTTTAAATGCCAGTCTTTAGAAGTTTTTAAAATGTTATTTGTTTTCTTTATTTTTTGGTATTGCTTTCTTTGTAAGAGAAATATTTGGAATAGTCAAAAGGAAAAAAATTACTCATTTTCATTTTTATAATAAAATCATAATATTTTCTTTTACTGTTTAAATGTTTTCTTTAAATATTTTAATATATTTTAGACAACATTTTTTTCAATTTTTTTATTCTAATTAGTTATACATGACAGTAGAATGCATTTTGACATATCATATATAGAGTATACCTTCTCATTCTTCTGGTTGTATGTTATGTAAAATTAAACTGGTTGCCTAGTTATATATGCACATCGGATAATAATGTCCAATTCATTCTACTATCTTTCCTACTACACTCATACCCCTTCCCTCCCTTTACTCTCCTCTGTCTAATCCAGAGTGCCTCTGTTCTTCCCTAGCTGCCCCCTATCCCACCCTTTATTGTGAATTAGCATCTGCATAGGAAAGAAAACATTTGGCCTTTGGTTCTTTGGGATTGGCTTATTTCGCTTAACAT